GGTAGGCGTTGGCTAAGCCGGTTTCCTCTTTTGCTTGGCCGGTGTAAGCGAAGGTGTTAAGCGTGAAGCGGCCGAGATACGAACGGATACATGGCAAGCAGCTACAGATACTTTTGTATCTATGTGTGCCTCATTGCAGCATGAGGGTCAAAGTTTTTATAGTGCATAGAGAATGCGGGCTGTTTGATGAATTGCCAACAACGTCGAGGGTGTACGCGAGAGTTAATCGAAGTTTAGTTTTTATGGCCAGACGCAAAAAAAAAAAGCTGTTGCGGTTCACACGGCGCAACAATTTTGGCAACAGAGAGAGAGAGAGAGAGAGAGACCGAGAGAGCAAAAGAGAGAGAGAGATATTTTAATTAACAGATTGTGCACTTCTTGTGATAATTTCACGCTGGCTCCGCAGCCATGCGTGAAAGAGTTTAGACCTAACCACAGGCACAGACCCAGGCACAGGGCTAGGCCCAGGCATCTAGGCCCACTTAACAGCCTCCTCCTTAAACAAAAAGGAATACAAAAACTGGCTCTTTTCTCACCAAATTAGTGTGTGCTCAAGATGTGAGCATTAATTGCTCAATTGCAGCAAACCGGAACTGGGCAACGTGGAACTCGGTTTATTGCATGTGAACAGCTTCGGGCAGAAGCGTCAAAACGAGATCAAAACTTGGCGCATACCCCTGCTCCCAGCACACACACACACACACACACACACACACAGATACACTCTTGGCAACTGGTTCAAGTTGTTGGCTATTAGTCGTTAATTGATAGTTTGCCCAAATGGCTGGGCTGAACGGCCCCTGGCCGCCGGCCCCTGAACGGTCTCAACTTGGCTCGTACTGTGTTTGCAAAGAGATTAAATTGACTAACACTAACCTGTCTGACTTGTTTGTACTGCTCTTCAAAGCTCCAGCCATTATTCTGCTGCGATGAATTGGATGCCTCGCTGGACGTCGATGAATTTGATGCGGAATTAGCTGCAAAGTGGCGCGCTGAGTTCAACAGTTAAACACCGGCTAACCCACAGCCCCATACCAACCTTCTTTGGCGCTCGGCGCTGTCGGCGATGCAAACGAGAAGGGATGTCCATTGCCGGCATTGTTGTTGTTGCTGCTGCTGCTGTTGTTGTTGTTGTTGCCACCAGCATTTCCAGCCGCATTGCTGTTGTTGTTGCTGCTGTTGTTGTTGTTGTTGGCGGCAGTGCCTCCACCTGTACCGCTGCTGGCCCCATTATTGTTGCCGGCGCCAGTGCTGCCCATTGCTGCAGCTGCTCCTGTGCCAAGAGTTGCACCATTGTAGCTGGCGCCGTTGCTGGCTGGCGGCACGGACGCATTGGCCGCATGGCCAAAGGACGCAGCTGCCGCGGCCGCTGCCACCGAATTGTGCGGCAGCGGAAAGGCCGTGCTGATCGTTGTGGGCAGCATATTGGCGCCAAAGGCGGCCGCATGGGCCGCTGCTGCATAGTCCTGTTCCTGTAAGGCAGTCAAAGCGAAACGTAACCAATGATAATCAGAGTAGCTCATCGTCTGCTGACACAATCTGATATTAAAGAGCTCCGCTTTTATTTTTTGGGAGAACTATTCATTTAATATTATATTTATGTACGAATTGTACGATTAAAATTCCAAATCACACAATTTGATATAAATTTTTGATTTAATTGGAATTCCCTTTTGAATATCAAATATCAAAGGGCTGACAATTTAATAGAAATATGTTTTCTTTTTGCCTGTTTATAACAGCTTGATGCCACTTGCAAATAAAAGCATATTTTAACTGTTTTTGGAGTCTGGTAATTGACATTAATTAATATTAATAATAATATATTGAATCAGATGTATAGCGATGTCTGCTCATATATATATCTGCTTTGCTGGATATTCATTTATGCATGAATATGACGCTCTATCTATCTAGGTTAATATATGTATATGCAATAGTTAAAGTTCATTCATCAGAGCTTTTATTGCCTATGGATCTTAACTTTTTAGAGAAAAGAAGAGCAATCGTCTTGTCTTTTCTCTTTAAAGTTAATAATAATATTCAGCATTGGGCTTAACACTCACCATGAGACCCACTTTCATGTCGCGTACTTGCATCTTGAGCTTCTCGAGAACATCGCTGTGCTGTAGATTTGGAATGCTGTGTAGGCCGCCGATGCCCATGAAGCTGCCCAGCGCGTTAAGCGGATGATTCGGCGGCAGTTGATGGTGATGGCTGCAACAACAAGCAGATGAATCAATTAACTCAGGATCAGATGCAGCTGGGATTAAATGCTACCCACCTGAGTGGCAGATCTGTTTGCTGCTCGGGACTGGCAAAGTTGAGGCCAGCGCCGCCGGCGACTGTGTGACTGAGACGTGCGGCAATTGCTGCCTTGGCACTCAGCTGATGATGTTCACCGTCGACGGAATCGCAGTCGCGCATCTCGTCATCCGTGCGATCGCCGTGGGACTGCAAAAGAACCGCCAGAGAACAGAGAATTAGTTAAACAGGCGTTGGCTGCACCAAATTGATGGCGGCGCTTATGTCAAAACATGCCGCATCCATTGCGATCAATGCAACCTCGAGCTGATCACATTGATCGCCCCGATTATGCGCCCGCTGCGCTGGCCAAATGTCCAACAGTTTGTCATGAGGCGGCGGCGGCGACTTTGCTGCTGCGTGCAGCGTGGGCAGCGTTTAGCCTCAGCCACAGCCCGTGCCAAAGGCACAATATTAGCACATATAAAGAGACTGAGAGGGAGAGAGAGAGAGAGAGAGAGAGAGAGAGGGGTGTTTTTCAATTGTATTGCCAGCGAGGCGACAACAAAGGTAACCACTTAATAAATTAACAATGGCAAGCCGGTAATGGCAATCAAGCAGAGAGCCCAAGCCCAAGCCCTAGCCAACAGTCCAGGCTATTAAGAGCGAGTGGAGCTGGTGGATCGTTGCAAGAGTTACATCCATGGCGTATCCGTGGCCACAACCGTTTCAAGCGTACTATTGCCAGCCGTGACTCTGGCAAGAAGTCGGCCACGCTTGGCCGGCTGCCTGTCCACGGTCCGCGGTCCGGTCTTTGCTTTTTATGCATTTGGAGAGGTGCAAATTAAGCGCATCTGTGACTGTGTGCAAATCGGGAATTTTCAATTTAAACACATCCAAGCGGCAGCCAACCGACAGCAGCACACACAACACACACACACACACACACAACATACACAAAGTAACCTGTGCTGCACAATGTAAGCCAAGCCATGCCCAGGTTAGGCCGGGCATCATCATGATCATGATGCTCATCATCAGCCTCATCGGAGCACAGTTCGCATCTCAGTGTGCAACTCTTTTCATGTGTGTATACAACATTTATCGCCGGTATCGTTGTTGTCGTCGTTGTCGTTGTCGTCGTTGTCGTTGTTGTCGCATTGCTGTAATCATAAATGCAACCAAAACCAAAGCACACATAGACAACCTCTGAGCTGAAAGGGGCAACAGGGGCTATGGACTCTGTTATTCGCAGCAGAGAGCTGTTGCAGTTCCAAGAATTCTTTGAAGTTCGCGCAAAATGCAAACGCCTTTAGTAGTACGAATACGAGTACACTGGCAAAAAAATAATACCATTATGTTAACATTATGTTAACTAGTTAACACGACGAAACATGTAAATTTGTACATATGTGTTTAAGCTAATCGATTCATATTTTATAATGTATATTAAATTATTCATTTATTTCTCTTATGTTCTACATGTTAAATGTTTATTATTATATAATAATTGCCCCGATTTAGATTTCAATTTTAAGCTTATATTTATGCTTACTTTTCTTTATGCTAGTTATGCTGTTAGACCTTCAATTAAGATTTTAGGCATACGACATTCTAACTATTCATTTATTCTCTTGATCTTGCTGTCTAGTGCTAGTTGAATTGCATTTCTTTCAGTGTCAAACCAAATGTGAGTGTGGCAAAAATGTGGCCAACACCATTTGGTTAACTCATGTGATATGCGGCAACTGCTTTTTCGACCAGGCTCGAACGCGAACGCGCATAATGAAATGGTAACGTCTTGCTCTTGCCTCTGTTTGGTGGCAACAGCCTCCGCCTTCGCCATCGCCATCACCATCGCCTCCATCTCAGTCTCCATCTCCATCTCCGGCCCCATCTCCGTCACCGTGTGCAGTTCCATCTTCTTTGTGGGCACATATATTGGCGCATTGATCGCTGCTCGCATTGGACGTTGTTGGCTTCAGTTGGTTGGTTAGTTAGTTGCCAATTCGCGGTTACCACATGGAAGCAGCCATATTTGCATATATTAAGTACATACAGCTATGCATGTGTGTGAGTGTGTGTATGTGTGTACATCAAATTAATGTAAGTTATCGAATCCATGCGAAATATGTGCACTCAGAGGCCGATGGACGCTTCGCTGGCAACATTTTAGTTGCGGTTGGCATTTTATTTTCTGCTGTTGTTGTTTTTATTGTTGTTGTTGTTGTTGTTGTTGCCATTTCTGTTGACCAGGCCCAAACAATAATTGTGGTATTGAAGCAGCCAGCTACGGCCTGGGCCTGGCCTGTGCCCGCTGCCAAAGGCGTGCAGTTTACGCCGTGTTGCACCTATAAAATGTCTAATTAATGCACAACGAATTTGCGCCGCAGTTGCGTGTTGCACAAAAAAAAAGTAAACCAGCTAAAAAATGCAACTTTTGATGCAGTTCATTAGCCGATCGATAACCAAACGTTTGTCTCGATTTACTTTACGAAGTTTTGTTTAGTTGTTGAGTTTGCCATAAATAAGTGCATTTTTAGCTGCCAACTAAATTGAAATAATTCAAATTTGGCAAGCGAATTTGTAGTTCAATTCGAACTTCGAGTTGTGTTAAAAAACAGAGAAATCTTCAAGTTCACAGATATTGATATGCATAAATATTCGATATTTGAGCAGTCAGCCTCATAAAACAAATCAATCTATGTTTTAAGAGATATTTGAAATCAGTTTTAATTATATTCATTCTAATATAAAACATTGATCTGTTATTACAAATTGATTCTAAGAGCTCTCTTTATTTATTTCAGATATATGAACAAAGAATTTAATAAGGAATTTTCCAAGAATATCTACATAAATGTTGCAAGGTATTTAAATACAATTTTAATTATATTTATTTAATTTATAGAGCTGTCTTTTTTAATTTTAAGTATATTGCGAGAACATTTATTGGGGAATATTCCAATAATAACTAAATTTTAAATGGTATTTTAAGCACATATTAGTTATATTGATTTAATTCCTTGCGTATTTGAAGTATATTTTGAGCAAATTGAATAGGAAATTTTCTAATAACAAATATTCCTAGGAAAGTCCCAGCACGTAGTGGAGGTCTTTTATGTGACCCAATATCTGAATGCAATTATGTACAACTGTCGCATAAATTATTATGTACGATAAGCTGTACTAGTTTTAGGCAAAAGCATTAGCTAAGGCAAAAAAGCAGACGCTAATGATGGCCAGGTATCTTGTAGCTCAAAAAAAAATAAATAAAAAATAAAAAACTGTGTCGCCAGCCCATAAAGGTATATATAATACTTGTATACAAATAGGCAGAGATAGTACTGGGGCGCACAGCTACACGGCAGTTCCATTAATTTGGACTTTGCCGGGGCAATGATAGACGCCGGAGCGTGTTATCGGTTTAACTTTTACCGCAGCACTTTCATAGGAAAGCCGAAAAGACATTAAATCGCAATTAGACCTGACGCAGAAGTTGCGCCAAAGTCTCCGGGTGCACCCACAATGCAATACTTGAGATACTAGATACTATTCGTACATGTGTAGAGCTCGCATTGTGTGTAGCTGCGATACGATACGATACTCGTGGGCAGGTATGACTGGCCCGTGTCGCCGTGTCCCCTCATCCCCGTTGATTGCAATTTACTTTAATAGCTTTCGATGCACCGCAAAAGACGACGACATTATTTGTGACAAGATGGGGGCACAAAGGGCCGCATGGGGCGAATGTGGCGACTATCTAACTGCAAATTGCATTTGTATTCGGCCGAAGAATATTCAATTTATTTGCCGCTGACAGTTTTTATCACTAATTAGTTTACATTATTTTCGATAATTTATCTTAATTTATTATCATTGCATTTGACCACAAATGCAATTTAGTTAATTTCGCTTGGCTGTCGTTATTGTTGTTCCTGTTGCCTCGACAAGTTGATATGAACAACAATTGCTATTGTTGCATTGACAAATTGTCGGAAGCACTTCGGGTCAGGAGAGCTGCTGCCGTCGGCACTCAGCGCTCAGCACTCCGTACATCATCAGCGAAACGGGATATTGTATAGAGGGCATGTCGGACGGAGCGGACGGAGCGGACAGGGCTGTGCCGCATGTGCAACATGCCGTGCTAATTTAAAACAAAAGGACGAGCCGCTGCGGCCACTGGAAATCCATAATGTGACAAAGCGGCGAGCGGCGAGGGGCAAGCTGTGAAGGGCGCAGCATGCAAACAGGATCAACTAACTGCCAGAGCGGACGCCCAGCCCAGCCCAGCCACACAGGCGGGCAGGCGGGCAGGCAAGCGTTTTATTGTGTGAAGGATTAAGATTATATAGCAGGCATATGCTTGCCGTCTCTTCCCTCTGCCTCGCTTCCTCTCCCTCCCATTGGATAGTTGTGTGTGTTGTTTTTTTAGACCGAATTTTAAACTAGAAGTCCTAATGTTCTTATGATTCAAGTGCTCTTTGGGCGTGCTGGCGTCTTAAGTTTATTAACGTCCTATTTTCATAGCACGATTTTTAGAATTATCTACTTTGAATTATTCCTGCAGTATTCCTGGAACTCATAAATGCCATGACAGTAGCAATGGATATATCGATTGGTTAGAAGAGAGGAAAACCCAGGCTTTTATTTGGTTTAGTAAGGATTTTCGAATTGAAATGTTTATGATTTAGGTTTACATTTGAATATTTGAAAAACTGGACATATTTCATATTTCATCTGAATTTGAATAAGTCATTCGATGTCGCACACAATCTTTAAATTGGAAAAAATCAAACGAAAAATTTGTTTAAACTATAATATGATTAATAATCAAAGTCCGAATAATATCTAATAAAGTAGGCATTTATTTAAATTGATGTGAATCACATTCAATTAAGTCTGAGACTTTGAATTAGTTTAAAATTAATATAATAACAGCTGTTGATTAACAAAGTATCATGGAAGATATTTTAACAACAAAATAAACCTATAAAGATTGAAGCATATTCGGATCATGCTCATTTGTAAATTGGGTAAAGTAATGAACTTTTTTATTTTTTATTTTCATACATTCTTCAAGGAAAGTTAAATAATCTAAAGACGTTGTTGACATCTTAGTCAATGCGATAAACTGTTAGGTAATGAGTTAACAAAAATTTACTAATACTATTATTAATAGTTCATTCTAAAGGTTTTTTGTCAGACTCAATTTCTACACTGAATATAAAATTAGAATAGGACTTTTTTGTAGTTTTTAGAACAGATTGGCTACAATTTCTTATGTACATACGTATGTAGCATAATGTTTTTATGAAATGCATATTTTTATATGCACCCACATGTGTATGCACTTAAGATGCACACACACACACACGCACGCACACAGTATGTATGTGCACATGCATATGCAATAAATGGCGGCGTTTTCTCATATCTGAATAAAAATGCGAACATATACACATAAATAAAAATTGCTCATTTACGCATCCACCCCGTGGCGAATTATTTCAACGCGCTGCGACGATGACGACAACAACAACAACAGCAACGACAAGAAGAAGAACAAGAGCCAGCGACTAAAAAGTACAAAAAAAAAAATAAATATATATATGTATGTATGTATATATATATATGGATATATTAAGGGCAGGACCAAAACATGTGCAACGTGGTCGATACGGAAACGCCGCTGCAGGCCGAAGAGCATGAAAATAAAATTAAAATGCAAAACGTATCTGTGAGATACAAGCTTATATATGTACGTATAGACATATGAATGTAATACGAGCGTGAGTGCGACTGCAAGAGTGAATGCCAGCATGTGTGTGTGTGTGTGTGTGTGTGTGTGTGTGTGTGTGTGAGTGTGTGCGTCGCGTATTTCATTCGCTCGCGACGCGACGAAGCGGAAAAAATAAAGCGAATAAAATATAAAAATGGAAACAACAAAACAGAAACTGAAACCGAAACGGGCAACAAACATAATGGCGCATTCGCTGTGCCGGTTGCCCGCTGGCTGGACGACCCAACGAGCGAGCGAGCGAGCGAGCCCATTGCCCCTACCCCACCCCCCCCCCCCCCCCCTACTGCCATGTTCCATCAGCCAACAAACCACCTACCCACTATTATATGGGCGCTGCACGCACGCCCATGTTTTGTGTACTTGCGTGCGTGTGTGTGTGCGTGACTGAAGGCAGACGAAAATTTCGCGTAAACAATAAAATAATGTAAAAGGTACAACAACAAAAAATAAGAAGAACAAATGAAACCGGTTAAAAAAGCAAACGAATAAAAGGGCCAACGACTGTTTCTGCTGGCCTGTGCTGGCCTCTCCTTCTTGTTGTTTGCCCGTAACCTGCGTCTAGTTTCGATTGCAGGCGGCATTAATTTAAAAAAAGCAACACTGCATTGTTTTTATTACAGCCGGCGAGGAGCAGCCCCAAAAGCAACAGCTCAAATATTGCCCGCTGCCTGCCTGCCCGTCGATCGCAGCGCCGATAAACGAGCTTAACTTATGCTCTTGCAGTTGAAGAGTATTGTGCTTTCAGCATTAAGCGAGTAACGCATAGAATGAGTCAAAATCCGCACGCATCGCTATTGCACACATTTCTGCAAGGGTATTTCATTTTCGATGCGCCATAAATAACTGTACACTTTCTGGTCGCTCATTCGCTTGTTCATTCATTTAACGGGCCAGCTAGAGCTTTCGACCAGGCGTCCGTTTTCGGTGAGAGCGCTTGCAAAGTCGACAATATAAAAAGCCACGCCCTTTCGTGATGCGAGGCAAGACGTTGTGTTTATTAGTGCTTTGATAATAAGCTTTTATATTTGCCAGTGCATGTGTGCGTGTACATAATGTATTCGCACAATAGGTGTGTGTGTGTGTGTGTGTGTGTGTGTGTGTTTGTGTGTTTATTACACTTTATCGCAGCTCGTAAGCAGCTGCAGCTGCGAAGCTGCTGCCAGTGCTGGAAAAAATCCAATTAACAATTTTATTAGCTATGGTTGAAAAATAATTCATAAATTCATTCTAAACAAAACTGTAATAATCATAATTTTTATGAGCTTGTTGTTTTTGTATTTTTTTCAGTTGTATTTTTGTGGCATTTGTCGCCATTGGCTTTTATTGCTGTTATTTCTATTGCTTTGGCATTTGAGTGTGTTTTAGTTTCTTGTCGCTGGTTTTGCATTTTAATTAAATTAAAATTGTATTCGCATCAACATATGACATGTCGTATGCACTTTCAAGATTGCCACCCAGCAAAATGGCGCCTATAGCCCAACCCCAATCCCCACCCCCATCCACAGGGATTTCTTTTGTCATTCTTTCCGTAGGCTCTGCAGCATCAAAGCTGCCCCAAAGGCGACATTTCGACTGCTCTGCTCTGCTCTCTAATACTTAATCAAATATTTTTTACCGCCCCGACACACTCATGTGGATTATCGTTATGCAACAACAGCAACAACAACAGACACTTGCCCCCAGAGCGCAGCAAAGAATTTAATACAAATCGTTGCCTGTCAGCGTACAAGAAGCCAAACAAATTATAACAGGTGCCGCTGCCGCTGCCGTTGCCGTTCTTGAGTGCATTAAGAACCACACACACACACACACACACACACATACGCGCACAAATGCCCCCGAGTTATGGAATTGAGTCCGGAATGAGAACGTGGTTGGGGGGCTTAGGGTTGGGGATGGGGGGTGCCCTCGTATCGGCAGCTAATTTTCCATTGCTTCATAGCCAGCCAAGTGCTAAACTGTTGGGAATCTGTAAACCAAAACAACAGTTAACGTCACTGAGATTCGGACACACACACACACACACAGAGAGAGAGAGATGCACACCCACACTCAAGCGCAGACAGC